ACAGTAGATGCTTAAACCTAAAACTGTTATTACAGGAAATACATTTCTATGAAACTCCTCAAACACTTCCCTTTACTTTGAGCACATTTATCACATTGTTCCTGCCACTTTCTTTCTTTTTTTTTTTTTTTTTTTTTTTTCATAACCAGGGATTGAACTCAGGCCCTTGCACTTGCCAGGGAAGCACTTATTCCACTGAGCCATCTCCCTGGCCCGTTTCTGCCACTTTCTGAAAAGGTTCTAGAAGTCCTCTTTTGTGAGTGCTCTTAGTGCTACTGTAGTGGTACCTTACTATTCTGAATCCACTCAAAGCATCTACCTTTTATGGTTGTTGCGACTAGGAGTAAAAGCCAGAAGTCACACAGTACCAGCACCACCAGATCTAATGAATAAGGTGGAGGCATGGCAGGCAGCAGCATTATCTCTGCTCTCTCTCTCTCTCTCTCTCTCTCTCTCTCTCTCAACACAACTTGTAAAGACATTCAACAAAGAAGACTTCTGTTGAAAGGTAAGAATGACGGTGTTTTCAAAGCAAGGGAGAGTTTTGAGAAGGATTAGTGGTGATTTATATTTCACTTAAATGATTTTTTAAAAAATATGAACATTCACTATGTATTTTGATCATACTTTATATATCTTAAAATATTGTATGTTCATATTTTAAAGGGTATATAGGATGGCTTTCCAATTAAAGCCAATTAACCTGGATTATGAAATATATATGATAATCACATCTTGGTTATATGTTCGTTATACATGCATAGATACATATATATTTTCTATTTAAACTAAACTAAACTAATCCATGAGATTATTTCAAGAGCATTTTGTATAATTGTTTCAGCTTTGATTAAATGTCAATCTATAGGTGTAATCAATATTTCTGAAAAATTAAGTCAACACAAATTGTACCATCTTTTAAATATTTCATTTTCAAGTCACAGATTTTTTATGATAAACACTCTAACTCTTTTATCTGTGTTATCTGTGTAAACACCCTGCCTTTACTTGTAGTGAACTTACATCTCTTCTGTAGACATTTGGTTTAAACATCACCTTGCAGAATTGAATGGGCCCATCTGCAAGCCAATTGCGTGGAACACCGTCCAGAAGGGAAGAGCACACTTTTACTTCTCACCCTAAGACTTACGTAAAATCAGCCTTCTGCTTTTGCAGAGCACACCAACCCTGGCAAAGCTTCTCAGCTGAACTTAGTTGTTCATTTTTATTGTCACCGTGGCTGTCAGCTTATGTCACCTTTGGAGGAAGAAGTGAGAAAATAGAAAATGCTCCTTGGTGAGGAGCAATAGGAGGGAGGGATAGAAGACAGGGAGACCCCTGTGTCCTGATTTGTTTCTGGGCTTGTTTCTGTTCTGAGCTGACAGTAGAAAAACAGCACAATGACAGACCCTCTCGTGGATAATTGGGAAAATGTTCTGGAATGATTTGTTCGCTTGGATCCTGAACACAGTTAGAACCTCATTTTATAGATTACAATTCCCCACCTAGGAAGCTATAGAGGACTCCTTAGCGCACGTGGTGAAGCAGAACAATTCTCATTTCTGCTTCAATAGATAATCTAATCTCTTTTTTTGTTTTGTTTTACTTAGACATAGAAAGAAATTTTTCATTTCTTCCAATATACTTCCTACGAGCTTTATTTAATGATTTCCAAGAATGCCATTTTGGCTTTATCATTCCATAGTAAACAAATAAAACATAATAGCACATAATTTATTTTGAAGATATTTTAGTATTGCCTTATTGCCTTTTGCCTCGATGTTAAACAAATTTTGAAATAGGAAACACAAAAATTGCAAAAACCCATTAACCAGTAAAATGTAATAAGTTTCCACTTCAAACAAGTTAGGAGTCTTGTGAATCTGACACATGTATCAGTATGTCAGCACTTACATATGAAAAGCAGAACCATTCTTTCACACCCACGTACCATTGCCCGATGCCACATGCAAATAGAAATTTATGGTAGCATCTCTTTTGGAATTGGGTCTGTCATGTTTTATTCTTAACACCCAGCAAGTTAAGTAAAATAAATGAATGTCTGTCTCGGTTTATCTGACACCCCAGTCTCCGAACTAATTCAAGAGACCCCATTCATTTCCAGTTGCCTATTTCAGACATTCACTGTACTAAGATACTATGTCAGTCTGACAGTCATCAGGGACATGGGACAGCTCTGTGGATTTCACAAGCATGTCTGGGGCTGGATGTTTGTTTGGCATAAGCTCACTGCTGAGGCAATAGAACAGGAGCTGAATTAAGGGCAGGTTGTTAGAACAAATCACTGTAAGAACAGAGCAGCAAGGCAGCACAGTGCACTGCAAATCCAAGTTCTGGTTAAGCAGATACCTCACAGCTAAGTTGGGGAAAGAGAAGAGAAGGAACAACCACAGTTGCGTCAGGAGGACTCTGCTCTGCAGCTTGCTGCATACAGGGCAGGCTGGTCACTGAAACATCCAGTTCTGCTCCTTCACGGTGCACTCTGCTAGTTGACTATGACTTTATTGCCCTCTGCTAACAACAAAACCACTAATAGTCTCAGGTAACTTCAAGGTTAACATTTCAAAAGCCAGATTTTCTTAACAAATTTGCTGATAGTTTTGGTCTTAAAATGGGATTTAAAATAATATTGATACATATTTTAATGGACTATTTCTGTTACTATATTTAAGATTAAGGATGATTCGCTATTCTAAAAAGGAGAAATAGAAGCCTCAAACATGCTATAAAATATATTACAAAATTCTTAGCACAAAATGCTCAAATTTTCCTGTTAACAGAATGTTGACTTCTTGCTCAAAATCCTGCTTTGGATCTATTTTTGAATCACTAAATTTCCACCCATTTTTCTCTGAGTAGGCCCCACTTTCTGGGGCAGCTTTATTGCAAGGAAAATGAAATTTACTAATCTAAGTCTTCATCAATACATTCTCATGTTAATATTCTAAAATATTTCAAATAGTATCAATGAGCCCCTTGTTTTTTCTCCTTCCTGGTATTTACAGAAGATTTACAATAAAGCTTTTGTTACATACTTCACTGTACTGTGTATCTTAATATTCCTACTGCAATAATTCACCAATACCTAACCACCTGAACAACACAAGTTTCCATCCTGTAGCTCTGTGTGTCAGAGCATGGGGTTCACTAGGTTAAAGTCAAGGTGTTTGTGAACTTAAAGACCTTAATTTTGTTCCTATAGGTAGGTGGTAGAAGAGAATGTCTCTTTTCATTTGGGTTGCAGACAGATTTGAATTCCCTACAGTTGTAGGACTCAGTTCTGCACTCTCTTGCTCTGCCCTCACAGCCATTGCCAGCTTCTACAAGCCAGCCACATCCCTTGGTTCATGGACCCATTTCCTCCATCTTTAAAGCCAGTGACCAAGTGATTCTCTCTCATATCTCCCTCATATATCAAGCTTGTCTCCATCAGCTCCTGTTATGTGTCCTTTGTGCATTTTCTCTGCCTTCTTTTTCTACTTCTGAGAAGTTGTATAATCATGCTGATCCCTTCAGCATATTCCAAGATAATGTCCACATGTTAAGGCCTTCATTACATCTGCAAAGGCCCTTTGACCACGCCACGTGACATATTTAAGGATTCCAGGGATTAGGACCTAAGCATCACTGAGGAAACCATTATTCTGCCTTCCACATCATGAATTTGTTTTGTATTACAGAGATTAATGCCCAACAGAAGCACAAAGACAAATAAACACTGAAAATAAAAATTACTTGTTTACCTCTTTCAGTATCTTCAAAATGCAAATTTTGTGCATTATTAAATGTCCCACTTTTCAAATAGCAAAAATAACACTGTTTGACATTAGAAAAATGGAAGTATATTAGAGAAATTCTCAATAGAGCCTTGATATATTTGGTGAATGAATTAGTGTTATGATTTAGTAAATATATTAGTGTCTTTCACATTCACCTGGACAAAGCATTGACCTTGAATTTAAACCATCTGTCAAAATAAAATGAAGTAATTTTTAAAATAGCTTTATGAAATGTAAATTGAAGGCTCAAAAAATAATAAAAACTATCCATTCCTATGCCTAAAATAATATTACTAATATTTAAATGATTGAAAATGGAATAGAAAATAAAAAGTATTTTTAACTGTTAATTTCTTTTTCAAAAGTTTTTTAAGTAGAAATGATAACTAATACAATAATGATTTATATAACAAATAAGTAATTACATAAATATCCTTCATAAAAATAATCATATCTAAATATAAATATTTAAGATGCATGTCCTAGAATTTTACTTCTCAGCATAGGTCATCAAATAGACTGAAAACTATTATGCAAGTAAATGTATGCTGAATCTATTTGATTGCTACATTACATACTGAAACTGTCTTAAAGAAATGTTTTAGAAATATTTAGTCAATTAACATGATGTCATTAGTTTTGCAACAATCAGATCTAGATTTCTTATATTTCAATTAGCCAATCCAAAACTTTATAATAATAGTTTACCTAGGATCTTCCTTTGTGAAAATTTAGGTAAATATTTTTTAAATAGACCTTTTCCTAAATTTAGTGTAAGCACTGAACCTTAATAGCCATGAAAATATGAGATATTATTTATCTCTTAAGTGGTAGGGAGATTTATTTGCTGTTACATTTAACACATTATTTTTACTACATAGCTTTAAATTTCTTACTGTAAATAATTGTTTTTAATATATAGTAGTGGCTTAGGAACCTCTGGCTCACTTGACTTTTTGTAGTCATTGATTGTGTAAAGAATCTTTTGTGTTGGTGACCAGAAAATCATGTCACAAGCCACTTTGCACACATTGTTAGAAAATGGAAAATAAATAGCAAATAATGCTCATAATTCTATTTTCTCTCCAGCAGAATGTATTTTCCTGCCAATTTATTCACTTGGATTTTGTCTGTGTTTGTGTCTAAAAGATGCACACAGCACATCCCCTTTAAAAGTAGCACTGAGTCGATGTCACTTACCACACTATGCCCTGAGCCCCAGAGCCAATAGGCTTTAGGTTCTGGTAGCGCTTGAGAACCGTGAAGGTCGAGTCTCCTACTTCCACACTGTAAAACTGGTTGTCCACTTTGCTTTTGCTCATGTTGTAATGTTGGGCAATATATGACACATCCACTTGTTTATCAAATCCCTGGCCAAAAAGAAGAACAAAACCGAGAGACCAATGAGCTGGTGGAAGGAAACCAGATTCAGAGAAGTCTATTCTTTTACTGTCCAAAGTAGTTCACACAGGAAATGATGTGTATTGACTTATGCATGATGACCTGGAATAAAAGAGCTTAAAAATGCAAAGTTTTTTTATATTAAAACTACTTAAAATAGAATAAATTTAGCTCATTCACATAATCTTTTCTGAAGTCTTTCTTTGAAATCATTCACTTATGAGGCAAACATGCACTGACCATGAACTAGTCTTAAGAACCATATTAGATACTTGAGTATTCAAGCTGATAAAGTGGAGATGAGCACTCACTATCTATCCATTACAATTGTTATGCCAGGAAGGACAAAAAAATGTATCCATCACACTTTCTCCAAAAAAACTGACATATAATTTGAGTTATTTTAATTAGGCAAATTTGAACTCAGCATTTTTGTTTCATTTGTCTTCACTAATACCAAAAATTGTCTTTAATTAGGTCTTGAAATATTTTAGTTCAAATTTATAATGTTCTAAAATACCATTTTATATCAAAGATCTAAATATTAAAATGGGAACGCTAAATCTACTCAAGGAGAAAGTGGGTAGAAACCTTGAAGAGATCAGTGTGAGAAGAGAGTTCATGAACAAAACTCACATTGCATGGGAAATACTTCAGAGAATAAACAACTTAGATCACATTTTATTAAAAACCTTCTGTACCTCAAAATAAATCATCAACAGACTGGGAAATGATTTAGCCAACTGCCCCTCAGGCAAAGGACTTCTCTATAGAACTATGAACAACTTTTAAAAAATCATGCCCCCCAGGGGCAAAATTGTTATGGTTCTAATGTAGCATAATGTTGGCAGACTTGATGCTGGTTCTTAAGGACTGATAAACCTGTGTTATAGTCTTCAAACTGTGAAATGTTAAGAATAAGCTTGTCTTTGTATCTGGAAACTGGTTTAAAGAAATGTGTCTGGTTACCATGTTGACAAAGGGCAGATCGTTATAGTTGATTACCTATGTCAATGTGAAGTTTAGAAGTTAACTAAGTGACTCAGGCCAGGGCCCTTACTTTGTTAACAATCTCATCCTGTGCAAGAGGAGGACATGGAGATTGTGTGAGTACCACAACCACCCTGGGAGGGAGGGGGGCTGCTTACATTATAAGGAAGGAAAATAAGATTGTCCAGTATACCCTGATTTTTTGCTTTTGCCCCATTTTTGCTGTCTTCTGCTGCCTTATACTGTTGCCCCTATACCATGCCATCCTGCCTTCAAACCAGCTGATTATAGACTGAAACTTCCACTAACTGTGAGCTAATTAAAAACTTTTGCTTCCTTAAAAAAAAAAAAATCAGGCCCCAAAATTCAAATATCCAATTAAAAAAATGGGCATCTGAGATGAATACACACTTCTCAGATGAAGAAATACAGATAGCAAATAAATATATGAAAATATATTCAATAACAATGGTCATTCAAAAAAAGTAAATTAAAACAACACTGAGATTCCATCTTACCCTAGAAAGAATGGCTATCATGAAGAAGTCAACCCTTGGGAGGCGGTAAACAGGCTGATCACTATGAGTCTGATCTAGTAGTGAGACCCTGAACACCCTGTAGGCCCTTCCCTAAAATACAGAAAGAGAGAGAAAGAGAAGGAGAGAGAGAGAGAGAGAGAGAG